GGCTATAAGGCTGTAAGGTATTAATAAGGGAGGATGGGGTGGTTGATGTTGGAGGTTGTGGGGGTAGAGGTGTTGAAGTTGGGCATGCTGGGAGAGTGGAAATGTTCCTTGAGGGTTGATTGTTGGCTACTGTACTAGTAGGCATTGGTGAAGGGGTAGTTATTGCAGTGTTTGGAGCCGTGGTCAAAGGAGAGCCTGGGGTCGGGGAATCGGGTGGGTTTACTTCTTTGGGGCTATTTGATAAAGGGGCAAGCCTCATTGCCCCTAACAGTGGGGATATATTTTCATTACTGGCCATGGGAAGCCTGGATTATGTTGGGGATAAAAACAGTCCACCCCTCAGGGTCCCCTTGAGGGGTAAGGGCTAGATAACTAAATCAGGGGAATACCGTGCCCATGGCTTCCCTCAGGCCGTTCAGGACTGGCACAAAGTCAGCCTTTCATCCTTTCAGCACGGCTCTCACACCTTAGGAGGTGGATAGCAGAAGGGTTTGGTGAAGGGACAGAAACAAAAGTGGAAAGGGAAAAAAAAGACCATGCATAATTAGTTGAGTCGAGGGCTGAGTCCCAAGGTTGGGGAGTTCCCCATCATTGGGTCCCAGTCTCCGTCTCCTAAGCCCCCCCACGACAACAACGGGCAAGGGATTGGGGGGGGGGGTTTGATTGGGGAAGGTAGGAGGTAGAAGAGGGGGAGTTAGATGGAGGGGGGGTAGGTTTAGGAGAGGATGTAGGAGCTTGGGAGGTAGGGGAAGTGGTAGAATGAGCAATATTACTGGAGTAGGGATTAAGAGAAAAACCTCGTCGTCGTGCTTCTTGTCTGGCTTCACGTAGTGTAAGTCCAAGTTTGAATCTGAGAGTTGCTACCTCAGACTCATATTTGTAGGTGGGGCAGCCCCTATAAAATACATTATGAGGGCCGCCACAGTTGGCACATGTGCGTGATTGGGCAGAACAGTTTGATCGAGTATGGCCAGGTTGGGCACATAGTGGGCATCTGGCTGTGGAACGGCAATGTTTGGCTGGGTGTCCTAAACGCCAACAATTTTGGCACTGACGAGGAGGTTGGTATGGTCGGACAGGGAGGGATTCTCCACCGATGTAAACATTAAATGGGAGGTCATGTCTACGGAAAGTAATTTTGGCGATGTTAGTGGGTTTCTTACGATGACCTCTGGGAGGAATGGAGTAGAATTGTATTGATGTCGCGTCATAGTCTGTGAGACAGGCGAATAAGTCTTCTCCACAATCTGACCAATCTTTGTCATAGATTGGGCAGTTTGCTGGGGAGATAGATACAGTTCCAGTGCAAGTATTGAGGGTTGGATGGGGTTCTGCAAGGATAGGGTTACCATATAAATTAATTAGTTTTGCTAATGCTATAGCTTGGTTTTCGGATGTTACTGTGATGAGACGGGAACGGTCGGGTCGGCTACGGAAAAAGACTTTGCCTATTTGTTTTTGGAGACATTACTGGAAGAGAAGGGTGTTGTCAGAGTAGGGAGCTGTGGGTGGGATCACAAAAAATCGGTCCCATTTGCCTGGGCTAAATAGAGTATTTAAGATTGTTGTAAAGACAGGGGTAGCAGAAGGGCGGGGGCGTGTTGAAGAGGGAGTAGTTGGGTAGTTGGGTAGCTGATGTAGAAGGTTGTGGGGGTAGAGGTGTTGAGCATGATGGGAGAGTAGAAATGTCTCTAGGGGGTTGAGTGTTGACTACTGTACTATTAGGCATTGAATAGGGGGTAGTTGTTGCAGTGTTCGGAGCCGTGGTCAAAGGAGAGCCTGGGGTCAGGGAATCGGGGGGATTTGAACTGTTGGAGCTATTTGACGAAGGGACAAGCCTCATTGCCCCTAATAGTGGGGTTTTGTTTTCATTATTGGCCATGGTAAGCCAAGAGTATGTTGGGGAGAGAAACAGTCCACTCCTTAGGGTGGACTGAGGGGTAAGGGCTAGGCCTAAGCAAGGGAATACCGTGCCCATGGCTCCCTCAGGCCGTTCGGGACTGGCACAAAGTCAGCCTTTCATCCTTTCAGCACGGCTCTCACACCTTAGGAGGTGGATAGCAGAAAGGTTTGGTGAAGGGACAGAAACGAAAAGTGGGAAGGGAAAAAAAAGACCATGCAAAATTAGTTGAGTCGAGGGCTGAGTCCCAAGGTTGGGGAGTTCCCCATCATTGGGTCCCAGTCTCCGCCTCCTAAGCCCCCCCACGACAACAACGGGCAAGGGATTGGGGGGGTACAGGCAAGTAAGTCTTCTCCATAATTTGACCAATCCTTGTTGTAGACAGGGGAGTTGTCGGGGAGATGGAGACAGTTCCAGTGCAAGTATTGAGGGAGGGATGAGGTTGGACAGGAATGGGTTTGACAGTGAAGTTAGGGTTGATAATGCTATAACTTGTCACAGTAAGGGGCTGTAGGGGATTACAAAAAATAATGGCTGGCTAAACAGAGTATTCAAAAGGTTTGTAGAGATGGGGGTAGTAGGACAGGAATGTATGGAAGAGGAGGTAGACTTGAATGAGGTTGTACTGCAGAGAGGTGGACAATAAGGTTGCAGAGTAGTAATAAGGGAGGATTGGGTAGATGATGAAAAAAAGTTGTGAGGGTGGAAGAGATGAAGTAGAAGATGTTTGGAGATGAGGAATGTTTCTGGAGATTGAATATTGACCTGGATGGATAATTTGGACTGGACTAATGTGAAAGTAGGCATTGAGGAGGGGGTAGTAGTAGCAGCAGTTCAAAGTTATGGTCAAATGAGAATCTAGGGTCAGGGAACAGGGAGAATTTTAATCAGTGGGGTTATATGATAAAGGGGCAAGCCTTATTGTTCATAATAATGGTATAAAGTCTTCATTACTGGCCATGGTAAGCCTAGAGTATGTTAGGAATGTGGTGCCCATGGCTTCCCCAGGCCTTTCAAGACCAGTCCAAAGTCAACCTTTCATCCTTTCAACACAGCTCCCACACCTTAGAAGGTGGACAGTAGAAAATGTTGGAGAAGAG